AACACTAATGCTATTCTTAATCTTAAAACTGCCCATAGACTGAATCCTATCCTTATTTCCTACTTTAATAGAAACCGATGTATTGAATATAAAATATTGGTTGAGCAATCACAGAATTTGAAAATAAACTAATTCCTTCTCAGCTATGATGCTTTTCATAGAGGCCAAGGACTCGCTATAAAACATTTTTTCCAATTTGAATATTTATATTGGTTGAGGAACTAACATTTTAGACTGGTTTAGAATTACTGGGAGCTTATTTTAAAGCAGAGGAAAAACAAGCACGAAGTTGCTATCTTTAGAACAGTTTGTGAAAATAATGGTATAAAGGTCTTATTTTCCTGTTTCAAATATTATACAGAGGTATGAGTAATTCCATTTATTGGAAAAACTTTAAAAATTGATCCAAATGTTGACATTTAAGTAGATTGGATGACACAGTGTCTTTAGTATATTAAACATTTGCTCTCCATGCATCTGTAATTTTTCAAAGTACATTTTGCCTTTGATACAACCAAAAAGAAATAAACATATATATATATATATATATATATACACACACACACACATCAGCTGAGATCTCAAGTATCAACCCTAATGGATTAATCTTTTAAAAATTCATTCTCAGGCCGGGCGTGGTGGCGTGTGCCTTTAATCCCAGCACTCGGGAGGCAGAGGCAGGCGGATCTCTGTGAGTTCAAGGCCAGCCTAGTCTACATAGTGAGTTCCAGGACAGCTGGGGCTATAGGGAGACCCTGTCTCAAAAAGACCAAAAAACAAACAAACAAAAAAACCCAAAAACCATTCTCATGGGCATGTCTATCCTTCAGAAATATAACAACTTAGGGCTGGTGCAATGCTCAGTGGGTAAAGGTACTTGCTCCTCAAGCCTGACAGCCTGAGTTTGAACCCCAGAAACCACAGTGAAAGGAGAGAACCGACTCCCAAAGTTGTCCTCTGACCTTCATATGAATGCCATAGGACACACAAACACCCATACACACTCACACCATACACACACAATAAAAGAAATACAACATAGCCAACTTGCGTTTGTATTAGTGGAAAGAGATTAAAATGTTACTAAGTTCACCAATTTTTTTCTATGCTGAAATAATGAAAACAACCCCACAACTGATCTTCAAATATGTTAACTATTAGTTCTTGAGTGTAGTTACAGAACAGGTAGATGTGTCTCCCTAAGAAACATCAAACATCTCCAGCAAGATGGCCTTAGGAGGGCTGTACTGTCCTCCCATACCTTACAGGATGGAAAACTGGTTCCTTTAACTCAATACATAAAAAAGGATGGCTGACTGTCTACTCTGTGGGAGCTGTCTTGCCAGGTCTGCATTACAGCCTAAGCCACACATATCTAAAGCATGAATTTACTGACAGGCAGGTGGGGCAGCAGTGAACCCAGGGCTTACATCTCAAATAGCTTTGTACATAGAGTTTGAATCAAAATAGCACATAACTAATGAATTTCAAAAAGATCCCTCTCTGACCTGTTTTAAATTTCACTAAAATACCTTCACTTGGGCCTCACTACATAGCTGCAAAATATGTCTTAAATGCAGATTCAAATATGTTACTACTGTATCTCAGATAGCATACTACTCCAAATGGACAATGACTCAGACCGAATGAAGATGGATGCCTCTGCATTAGGAGACCTGGATTCAGAGCACAGTGGGGAGCTTGGATTCTGTCCATGCGCCTCGTATCCACTGCTCAGCTACTCCAGCTGCGCACACGAATATGGTGCTTTTTTTAAAAAAGAAAAAAAAGGAATAAAAAAATGTTTCCAAGAGAGAAAATGAGTCTGGAAATCTGAAAACAAATTGTAGCCACTGATAAAGCTAATTAGTTAATTATCATTAGCATTTAAAATGTATAATTAAGACTGAAAGCCATTCATTTTAAACCCAAACCATCTGTTAGGATCCATTTTAGTTTTCTAAAATATCTAAATAGTTTTTTTAGCTTGACTGAAAGAGCACTCTTGTTTCCTGTAGCCCTTTCCCCATATGAATTCTCTATGCCTGGCTCCCAGGTCCACCTCATTTCTGCACTCCCCCCCAGCCGTGCTCTTTAATATCCAGGCTTATGCTAAACATTAAAATCCTGGCTCTATAGCACTTAGGAGAAAATGCCTCTCTAACAAAGACTGGTGGCAGAAACCTGCTGGAATGGGAATTCCTGGTCTCTATTCTCCAAAGTGCCTTTTAAAGATGTTTGAAACATTTTTTAGAGAGAGAGAGAGAGAGAGAGAGAGAGAGAGAGAGAGAGAGAGATGTGGCTTGTGCTACAGCATGCATGTCCAAGAGGACAACTTGAGGGAGTTGGTTCCCTTCTATCATGTCAGTTCAGGGATCCAATTCAGGTTGTCAGGCTTGGCGGCAAGCGCCTTACCTGTTGGGACATCTTACTGGCTCAAAAAGTACCTTAAAAAAAAATATA